ACAATTTGAATGGAAAAAATTTAAAAATGTGGAAGACGTCAAAAACCACCTTGACACCTTTTTCAACGAGAAACCGCGCGATTTCTATGAATCAGACAACCGAAAATTGGTTGAACGTTGGGAGTAGATTGCCGAACATGATGGCGAGTACATAATTGATTAATGAAAGCGCTTTCTTCAAAAAATTTCAATTTTAGTTTGCACTTGAAATCGAGCACGAACTTATGCACTCATCCAATACAAGTTAAATAGACCTAAATTTTGTCAGTTTCCATTCTGATTCCGACTACAATTTGTTTCTGTAACTCCCCTGATAATTGCATACTTTGTTTGAATTCTATAACGAAATATTAATAATATAAATTTTTTTTTATACCCGTTATAAGCAAAATTTAATTTATTTTTAAAAAGTTACTATGTCTTCAATTCTTATAAATATATACTTACATATGCTTTACATATCTATATCCGCTCAAATATATTCTCCTTTTATATATATATAGTTAAGTTTAAATACTCCACCTAAATTCAAGTATACATACGTACATACATATGGAAGACAGATGGTGTGACATGGTCTCGACAATGCACTAAAATCCTCCAGAGTATAAACATCAGTGTTACAAGCAAAGTCACTTTGCACTCGTAAATCGTAATGTTTTTTTGTTTTGGTTTTCGATTTGGATTTTCTTATTGTGAACTCACGTCGAATTGTTGTAGTTTTTATGTGAAGGTTTGTTTGTTGCTTGGCAAGACGAATGAAGGTGGTTCAATTTTGCTTTGCAGATTGATTTCAATACTTAATAACAAGAATGGGAGAGGTCTCTGCATCATTTTAGAAGAGTTCTTAGATTAAGGGGCTACATAGGTCTTGAAAGCCAAAAAAAAAGCTTATTTGCTCTATCTTTTTTTAAAAAAACTAAATAAAGTATATATTTTATTTTATTTACATATAAAAGAACAATATCTGGACAACATTTGATGAAAATTTGAATGAAAAATAGTATAAGTAAAGCCGTTGGTAGTGTCGTGAAGTAAACCGTCCACAAGAAAATGCTTTTGCGGTAGTCATGATAACTTTTTCAATTTTTATCTGAAATCAAAAGTCAAAAACTTGCTTAAAAGAAGTGTAGAAATTTTGCACTCGATCACTTCAAAAGTCGTTGAGATATTTTGACTACCGATTTCGATAAAGTTGTTTTGAGAAAAAGCGGCGGGTTAAAAAACTCTCTAATTTCTACAGTTTTGTCTCGATCGACTTGAAACTTGGGGAAAACATTCCTGACACTTTGTACTTTCATACATAAAATTATCAAAAATAATTAATTTTTTGAAGTTTCAAGACCTATAAAATCCTATAATTTACATTTCAATTGAAATCAAAGTGAAAATGTTTTAGAAATGATTCCGTCGGAGTTGAAAGTTGAGCTCTGATCGATGGGAGAGTACTTTACTTTTCAGTTCACTATACAGTCCAAAGTGGCAAAAGTGATTCTGGATTTCAAGCCTTGCTGTTGGTGTTGAAGCGGGATATCAAATAGAGGAATTTTTTGACGACTTCGCAGTTACGCCGGAGTCGGAGTTGCGTGGACCGCTTATTTGATGCTAGTTGATATTTCTTCTATCGCTTCGAATGGTCGGTCGCCTTCTAAATTATGGCAAAGCTTTTGGTGTTACTCTTCGTCAGTTCAAGCGGGCGTGAGTGTTTTGCGGGATACCAAATTAAGACAAAGAACTCTAGAGGCGGTTCCGTTCGTGCTGTCGAAGGCAATTTTAAAATCGACGAAGAGATGGTATGTGCCGATCTTCTTTTTACGTGGCTTTTATGAAATTTAGCGCGAGGTGAACATCTCCTCAGCTCAATATTCCCCACTTAATTTTAGTCAGTTAGCTTTTCTTACCGTCATTAGATACACTAATTTATGGATAAGAGATATGTTAATCCTTATGTTAGCAAATGCCTTTTTACAACTAAAACTACAATGCTCAAAGGAACATTGGAACAACAAACTTAAAGTGTCTATTAGACACTAAACTGGAGAAGCTTGGTATATTTTCGAAAGTTTGAATTATGTTCAATCTAGATGTTCATTAGTACCAAGATTGGCGCAAAGGCTTCAGCTCTTCTCACAATATTTTATATCTCTCTAAATTTGGAAACGGATCTCATCCCTGAGATCCGCCCAATAAACACATCACGTCTTCCTTTCAAACCTCCTTTCACTCCTACCACCCAGGCTCAGTAACCAAGTCTGAACATGCACAGATAAGATTTAATCCTTTTATTGACTAATGCCCGTTAGTCTTTCACATGGTATGCTATAAATGCATTTGACTGAGTAGACTTAGATAGATGACAATCGGCAGCCATGCTTTTGAAGCCGATGCAAGTACTTTTTCAGCTTCTCATCGACAGTCGGTAAACGCTTGGCTCTCGCACTTTGTTGGTCTTCAGGCCGGTTTTTACTATTCAAGCTTCTGGTTGATAGTTTCCGGGCGCTTCAACTTTACTGCAGTTCAAAAGTGTCCCCCATAAACCCAATATGTTCTGGACTGATAAGTATAGTTTTATGTGGTTTATTTTTAAATATAGTCTCCTTCAAGTGAAATACACTTTTAACATCTTGAATGCGGTGACAAAATATTCTTTAGACTTCTCTCCAATATGGATTTTACGGCAGCTTCCATCTCACTGTCATCTTAAGGTCTTTGTCCCGTATTTCCTCTAGCACTCTAGGCGCTAACCTGCCACATGTCTACTGTTCGACTGCCTCTCTCGCCTGACTCTGCAAATTAGCGTAATACTGGCCGTTCATTGTAGTCCCCTTTTGTCGACTGCATCGTCTCGTGTTTGGACTCGCGACCATACTGATGAATCCAACTTTCATCAACTGTTGCAATGCGGTTGAAAATTTCATCTAAATCATCTTGGCACAATTCCGAAAAATCTTTACAACCCTCCAATCATCGCTGTTTGTCGTGCCACGAGATGATGTCATCTCTAACTATCTTAGGCCGCGAACTTATCAGCCGCCTCTCGTAAGTAGCCGAATTTTTAATATGATTTTTCCATCCGGTTCGTTCTTCATATTCTTGGTCTCTCTCATTTTCTCTCAGAGGGTAAACGAGTCTCTTGTCCCTCTTCAAATCTCCTTCACTTACCTTTCGCTTTGTGGTTAACTGGCGCTACGGTACGAAGGCTTGCTGTAAGAAAGTTTTTTCCCTTGCCAGCAATATTTTGTAGCGCAGCTATCGGCCGTGTATGAGCAACATATGACTAGGATAATGTAGCCAGCACGGAATGAAGGAAGGTCACGAAACCTTATCACACTAAAAAAGTAGCTCATCTAATCTACAGCTCATCTCCTATTGAGCAGCCACGCAGAAACGATCAGCATACCAACTGCAACTTCTACTGGATTTGCTCGAGGGGGAATAACCCAAAATCTCCAGACACTTTCCTTGTTAATGCTCCGCACTTACAAGGAGTGATTGAAGTCTTTGAGGGTGGTAGCCTTTAGAGAGGGTACAAAGATATCTTGATTACTCAGATTGTTGAAGTCCATTTCTATGGGTATTATTGGCTGGAGCTCACTAGAATCCTTAGTGATCTCACAATGGGCCCGTTTCATGGCCTAAGTGAGCCGAAACCCGACAACCATTTCTTCCTTACCAAGCCTAAACTCTCTTATGAACTCGTCGACAACGTCAACGTCGACACATACATGATTGTTAGAAAAATATTAATTTTAATTGACAATGTGTGTGCTTGACACTGACATGAATCAAAAAACGGTTACGCCATGTAACTGTCTAGAAGTATTCAGAAATTTGTTTACTTGAATATGTGTGCTTTGCAAAGCCTCTTCTTGCAAGATTATATGTATATGTACATATGTACATATAACTAATATACATACCCAAATGCATATGTATATTCAAATTTATTAAATGCCATAATTTACATACATACATATGTAAAACACTGATTCAATTTGGAGCAGCGTGAGTAGCCGTTGCTGCGTGTTTACGTGGAGAAGCATAGTTTGAGGCGTCTGAGAAGTGAATCGTCAGTTGTTTGTACATACAAGTGAAGTTGGATCATCGCAGAAATGTTGTCAGGAAGTACATATGTAAATGCACGTTTATGCCTTTTCTACGCTATAAGTATTCTCCTCCTTTGACTAAATACATGCACACATACATACATACTATATCTGACTACATAAATTGAGCCAGAGCATGTTTAGCTTTCCAAATAACTGCTCAACCCTTTAGCAAACACACAAATGTACACTCAATCATACATATGAGTATATATGTATATATACATATGTGTATATGTATATGTGTAACCATATCCGCTTATGTTATATAATTGATTGAGCGACGACGTCGACGACGACAGCGACGACTCCTCCAAGTGGTTGAGTTCACACACACACACACATACATACATACACACATACATACATACACACATACATACATACATGAATATTATGTGGTCAAAAGCATAGTTATAAAGGAGTGTTTGTTTGTACATGTGTTTATGTAAACTATGTTACGACAAGTATGTTGATTATTTATTGTAAAATATATTGCGGTTGTTGTTGTATGTATGATGTTGGTCATGTTGAAGCCGGTAATTGATCTTGATTAAAGTTATGTTTTCTCAGCTTGTACAACAATGGCGTTGCGAGGTACTTACACATACATATATGTACATATTTGTATATATACAAACATGCCAAACACATAATTTGCATACACATCTGGCTAGGTGCTGGTTGTATTACAAGTGCAGCCACTTGTAAGCACTCAAACCAATGCATTTTATGAAAGTTGTACAAGTGACTTGTACAAGTGACTGATACAATTATTATTACTCGCTGACCAATAAGCTGATCATTTGCCTTGAGGAAATTTTCATTGGAATTACTTAAAATTTAAAAATATTTTATTTATTTTCAGTAATCGCATATTTTCTGTTCTTCCAGGTTTGGTTTCAAAACCGTCGCGCCAAGTGGAAGAAACGCAAGAAGACCACCAACGTCTTTCGCACACCGGGCGCATTGCTGCCCTCTCACGGCTTGCCACCGTTCGGCGCTAACATCACCAATATCGCCATGGGCGAAGGTCTCTGCGGTACCGGCATGTTTGGCGGCGATCGTTGGGGTGTGGGTGTTAATCCGATGACTGCTGGTGAGTTGAATTAGAGAAATAAAGAAGGAAAAAACACAGAGACTACTTTAAATTAGGAACTATATAAGTATCAATTAATATATATTTTTTGCTTATATACATATATGTATATATATATTTTAGTATTAACAAAACTAACAACTAACAATTTTCTTTTCCACTCTCTTTTTTTCTTCTTTTCCATTTCTTCTCTTTACTGCTTAACCGCCAAATTAATATTTTTCTTTAAATACTAATACCGCCAAACTATTGTCTCGTGTAAAAAATCAAAGGTTTTGGTCAACTAAATCAATCTTCGCCGCTCTCATCTACAATAAATAGTGGTCTTAATTCGGGTATTAACATTGGCTCGGCAATGGGTGCTGGCAGCTATCAGCATTATGGATTAAACGCTTTAGGTATGTTGTAAATACTAAACTTACACACTATATACTTACATGCTTACATACATATGTGCGCTCGAAAGGTTATTCCTTTAGTTACAAATAATTAAGTGAACTAAATTAATTTTTGTAGCTTCTTTTTCTAAAAAAAAACACTCAAATTTCAGTTCGAAAACTGTGAAACGAATCTGCGGTAGGTGCAGGGTGAGTCTTATGTTCTCATTTGAATCATGATTCCAACAACTACAGCACATCGGCTACAACAGTTTTGCAATGTGAGATCTTACTTTGCTTTTATACTGCTATTCAGGTAGATGTCGCTTTTGAAGCCCGACACACGCTTCAACAACACACTGCAGCTATTAAAATTCACCATGAAAATGGTGACAAACTGGCAGGGACAGTTCGTAAAACTAAAACTTTTTTCGGTCGCCGGGAAGCAACTTGCTGGATCGTAATAGAGATATTGGTGGAAGAAATTGAGCTGTTGGAACGAGGTAGTGAGGGGAAGAATAAAACACCACGTCACTCAAGAACAACTGAAAATATTGCTGCTGTATCCCAAAGTGTTAGAGAAACACCAAGTTTGTTCTTTCCTTGTCTCGGGCTATCCTATCCACAAAAGTCATTACACCATATTTTGCACAAGTTAGTTAACAAAACAACTCAAACCGGCCAATCATCAACAACGTCGTGTCTTTGCTGTTTGTGTCCTGTCCTTATAATGCTTCAAAGTGATACGGGATTTCATATAAAAATCATCTTGACTGATGAGGCCCATTTACACCTCTATTGACGTCAATAAGTAAAACTTTCACAGCTGGTGTTCGGAAGCCCCAAGATTTATTGTTAAAAGGTTCTCCATATTCAAAGTGTAACTGTTTGGTTTTGCGGCTGATGATGCTGAACAGTTACAGTGGATTGGTTTACGCTAACGAAAATTGGTTAATGATTTTTTATGACCGACTGAGTAGCGTTTACTTGCAGTAAGATGGCGCTACGTGCCACACAAGCAACGAAACCATTGAAATTTTATGGAAAAAGTTTCCGGATCGAGGTATCTCTCGAAGAGGAGATCGCAATTGGGAACCAAGATCTTCCAACTTCTTCTTTTGGTGTCTTATGAAAGATCAAGTCTACGACAAAATTTCCTTCGACGATTCAAGACATCAAAGATGGAATTTTTGAAGTTATCGAGAGCATACAGTAGTCAATGCGATTTGCTGATGGAAAATTTCCATCGTTAATGGCATATCTTCCCCTTCCCAATGGAATAAATATCTGATCATTTATCTTAAAAGATGCCGGTTTTCTTGATATCAAAATAACATCTCTTATTGAAAAACCTTGTACATAAAACCGCTTTCTGATATTCTTTGCTGGTGATTTCATTTCTTGGAAATAATACAACATTTGATTGCGTTAAGGTGATTTCGCGGAATCAGCTCGTTTAGAAAACCCAACTGGCCAATTGTGGAGCCATTTCTGCTCACACTATTTCTCTCAAGTCAGTAAAAGTTGTCGCGGGGTGTTCGCAAAGGAATTGCCTTAAGGCTTCTAGTTGTTTCTTGTCTCCCCTACCACTATGGAAAACTCTCCGTGTGTTTGCTTGTTACAATATTTCGCATAGAAAAGCTAGACCTCTCTTAGAGTAAGCTTACAAGGAGAACAAGATACCCAGACTCCCAAGCGAAGGCGAAGGTAGAAGAGAAGTGCACTTTATTTATTACTGTACTCAGAGGGAACTGGTCATCCCTAGTAGTGATTTACGGTGATTCTACACTCCTTCTTATTTTATTATGACATTTGCTAGGGTTCGTATGGCTGCTGGACTATATATCCATTTTCTCGTACTCTATTTGCATCAGCCCATACTGTGGTACTGGTACTGCGTCAAAAGCTTTCAATACTGTAGATTTCACGTTCAATCAAAAAATAGCCCCGCTGGACAATTTGCTTGGAGAGAATGTGCATATCGAGCTACTGGTAAAGTAAGGTCTACGTTTAACGAGGAAGGACTTTAAAACTTTACATTGAATGCGTGGAATTCGGAGGGCAATGAAGAAATCGATACCCACTATTATTTCTCTCGAGTCTCTTTCAAGATCTTGTACACGGTTAACATCAGACCTTTTATTCTCGGTATTTTTCTACCAATTTTAATGCTTTACGTCTTCGACACTTTTCTAAACTCTTTATAGTCTGACTATAATGGAAGGGTCGTAATCGATTTGGAACCTACGTTTATCAACTCAGAAAATCTCATTTGAACCATATTAACGAGTTGAATTGAGTTTATTTTGATATTCCTCCCATTAAAGTCTGGTATATGTTAGTCTCACATTAAAAATGCGGAATGAGGCACCTTAGGATATACATACATTCCCATGCTAGCCGAAATTCGGCGGACAATTCAGATATATAGATATTTAATATTTTAATATTTCTTTAAATCTAAATCCCGCTTTTGTGACTTCATTTGGTCTTACTGACCTGATGACACCGAAGCCTTGGAAATCCTTACTTGCAAAAAATGTAGGGTGTATGTGTTGTCATTCTCTCTTCCCGACTAGTAGTTTTAATAAGGATATCGGAAAAAGAGAGGATGAAAAGAGAGTAACGTGCTCGTCTCTGTGTTGGAACGTCTTGTTTCGTCTAAAAAAAATTTTTGTATAAAAATGATATCTTCAAATACTAAGTTTGATCAATTTAGGTTAGGTTGGATCGAATTGGCTAGACAAATGTTACAAAATGTAAAATTTCCTACACCACTAATTTTTAGTAAGCCAATTTCTAATGTCAAAGTCTATTAACGCCTCCCATGTAGTAAACGCTTCCGAAGAGAGAATTATTAATCTCTGCACCTAAAACGCCCTATAGCTCATTAGAAAGTTGAATTTGTTTCTCTCTCTCTCTTTCAGACAATTTGGACATTAGGCAGGCTTAACGTGAGAACACCAACCGCTGTGTGTTCGGTAAGAACTACCGTTGTATGCGACAGATTCGATTTCGGAATTGAAAGCAGTTTCGCTAATCTTCCGTGCTCCTACTTTAGGCAGAAGAAATTCACAACGACACATGCGCAGAGTACTACCCCAGCGTTCACTGAGTAGGTTTACGGCTTAGCACACCAAAAGCAGAGCGCATATTGACAGATGTGCACCTTTTCAGCTTTGTCTAACATCGGTGGTACTTGCCATACATGAAAGCTGATTAGAGTTTCTATTGCATTTTTGAACTAAAGCTTGACGAGCAACCTCCGCATGAAAAAAGTTTCAGTGATCCGGTCTAGCAGTTTTTCAAGAGCTTCTTTTCTCCACTGACTTTGCTTCTTGACTTTAGTACTTCCTCGAAGTAATTGTGGTGACTCTTTCGCCACCGGTTCAGTCATTTTACATTGCATTATTATTCACAACAACAACTCCCATTTAAATTATTAAAATGCTTCAAGAGTAATTTTCCGACACCGCATATCGTTTTCAATTGAACGTCTCAACAATCTTAATTCCTTTCATAATGATTTTAATTTTTTTAATATACATATGTACATATGTATGTAGATAGAGACATAGTACATTTGCACATGCTTTTTCTCGCTAGACCAAAAATTTTCCATTCACAATTCGACACTCTGTTAATAAACTTATCAAAGATGAACCAAAAAGTGATAAATACTAACCAAAAATAACATCAATGCTGACGAAAAGTAGTTTATTGTTTAACTTTTTGTTTAGACAATTTTTTATGCCACACAATTTTCATTCAAACATAAATTAACAAATTTGACAAATTTTTTTTTTCTTTTTTTGATACGAAACGAGTTTTCTTGACAATTGGTTAGACACGATTTTAGCGCATTTTGATTTATCTCATCCATCGTAGACAGAGAAAAAAATATTATTTTATTCTTCAAACCGTCAACATCACTCGGCTATTTGTCATTATAATTAACAGTTGTGCGCCGTTGACAAAACTGGTCAAAATGATCGAAAATAAAAAATCAAAAAAAAATCGAAAATAAAAACTGTGGAAATTCACTGAAAATATGAAGGGTTAATTTATAAAAAAAAAAAAAATATGAAAATATCACGAGTGTGATAAATTTAAAGATGATAGTGATCTATAAACCAATAGCGCACTGTTCGCCTCGGTGTATGGTACCATTGTCGCCCCTATCTACATACGTGTATGCATGCATTTGTGTGTGTCTATTTGTATGTAGCAATCTTTATTTGCTAACTTGGCGACATTTCAGTTGCTGTTTGCTTTCGCATTCCAATGCTAATTGAAATTTGGGCGTTCAGCTCATGCTTTTCATCATGCCTTTGGAGCATTTTCATCTGAATTATTTTTATTTACTTGTATTTTGTAAGTACATATGTATGTGCATGCTATGTATGTTTTCGGAAGTGTAGTCAGGCATACGAATCTGCATATTTACAAAAGTAATTTTCATGAAAATTATTTTCTCTTCGACTTGCAGGTGATTCAATGATGTATCAGCATACGGTTGGCGGTGTAAGCTGCGGCGCTAGCGGTTCACCCACCACAACCACGCCTCCGAACATAAATTCATGCTCATCGGTTACACCGCCACTGTCGAATCAGCCGAATGCCGGACCGAATGAGATGAACGGCGACCAAATGGTGAGTACAGTAGCATATAAACATACTTTATTATTGAGGTGAATTTGGTTGTGGTGTCCTTGTCCTTCGTGTTGCCAGGACATTTATTACTTCATTGGTTGTTGCCTCAGCTAAACTTCTTTAATCACCATACTTGACACAAAACCAACTCACCTTTCATTTTCTCCCTCAACACAACCATAGGGTGGTCCACCGCATCATCAACAGCAACCACCAACGCCGCAGCAACAACAACAGCAGCAACAACAACAGCAACAGCAACAAGCCCACCAACAAAACCATCATCATCAACAACCACCACCACAACAACAGCAACAACAACAGCAGCAGCAGCAGCAACAACAACAGTCCCAATCACAACATCAAGAGCATGCGTCAAATAATGGCGGTTCACATATGGTGCCACACTGTCACCAAGCCATGCAATCGCCAACAGATGGCGGTAATGTTGGCGAAGATGATGTTTGGCGAGGACACAGCATTGCTGCGTTGCGAAGGCGCGCCTCCGAATTGAATGCAACATCGGCGATTCCATCGTATTTACATCATGCTGCCGCCGCACACAACAACTACGAACATCACAATTCGGTCTACTGAAATTTGTTGAAAAGCTTTGAAAGCTTTTCGGATTACGGTTTTCCCAGTTGTGGGAATCATGAATTCTAGAATCGGACCAAAAAGGAAGATGGTGAATTTAGTGGTAGCACTGATGGTGGTGGTTGGTGAGATGACTAAAGGGGCGTAGCGTGTGCTGATGACGTATGTAATTAATGCGCAGTTCCAGAGCCACTGTGTGTATATAAAATTTCTGCATGTTTGAAGCACACTTTGCGGCGTCAAAAACGACAGCTGTCGGCGGTGGTGAAATACATAAATAAATAAATTTTTGTTGAATAGTTTAACCAGTGAGAGACTTAGAGAACCCAATGAATCGAACGATGTATACGTAAAAAGTGAACTGCAGGCGAAATGCAAACTTTAATATTAAGATTTACAAAATAAGTACTTATACAATGTTGTAATATTGATAATGTTTAAACTAAATGTATTCCAAACAATAGAGTATACTTACATACCACACCCGTACATACATATATAAATGCATAAAACGAAATTGTATAAATGATGAAAAGAAATTAGCTCGCCAAGGAAGGCAACCTCATAAATATTTATGTTAGCTCTCACAGTAATGAGAGAATAGTTAAGAGGTGAATATCTCCAAACTCAAAAATTATATTCTGAAAATTTGTAAATTAAACAAATATTAACCAACATTAATTGAATTGTAGCTGAAGGCAGAGTATTTCTCGGTACAGTGCAAGCTAACAACTTTATGAGGTCGCCATAATTGGGGGGTAATAAAATTAGGACTTAAGACTAAGCGTAAGAGGTAATTTGAGTATTTTTCAGTTTGCGTTATTTTACCGCTATAAATCACAATAAGCGATGTTTGAAGGCGAAATTACACAGATTTTCAAAAAAAAGAAGGGTGGGTTTCCAAAACACTTTCAGAAGATAACTCAGATTATGAGCTTCTTTATTCGAGAATGCTCAATAGCTGAATACTTTAATTTGCAGCTATGTTGTTGTGATAGTGCGAGGTCTATTCCAATTATTTTCTTAAAATTATTAGTTACACATTCATTTTAACTTGAATTCCATCGAAATAGTTCCCCACGGTGGTCACAAGGCTGCGACAGAGTTTTTTCCAATACATAAAAGGTTATCCATTTTGCTAGTTCGAAATTAAAGGTAAATACAATTATTTGCTTAATTTAATTAATTAAAAAAATTTTTCAAGAAACTTCTTTTTATATTAATTAAGCTATGAAATAATAAGCCATTAAAATAACAGCCTTGCGAATTTTCGCAAAAATCGATCCATTCGAGGTAATTTTCGGCCGCTTTTTGGCACATATTGGGCGATATCTCAGCTTTAGCTTGACGCATAAACACGGTCTTTCGCGTAGTCGCAACGATCTTAGCGGTCGAGACGAGACGTTACGCGCCCGAGAAATTCCTCTTGTAATGAAGCTATATTCCCTGGTTGTGTGGTATGTAGCAAAATTTTCTTGAAACCTCATATAGTCAAAGTCGGGTTCTTCAATCGCAGGCTCAAAAAAAGTTGGTTTTCATACGACCAAATGGCAGTGACAGTCTCCAGTTTGCCGATTTCAAAGACATTAGGTCGAAACATACCTGAGAACCAAATAGTGCACCAAATAATATGATTGTTGCCTCTCTTCTATTATTTGAGGATCTCTGAGCTTCAACTATGACGTGTCCCCGAGTGAGAAATGTGTCAGCCACTGTTAGTTGTTCAAGCATCGAAATGAGACATTTACGATCTCAGCTGGCCTCAGTTATTATGTGCGCTCTACTTTGTATGGATGTAGATGTAAGTCCAAGTGCAAAATATGCCATAATGTGCCGCAGGAAAGTCCCAGGTCTTAAGAACGTCGAGAAGTAGTCACATTCGGGTCTTCAACTACATTTTCACTTACATCGCCGATCTTCAAATTTCGTGAAATTCTATCATTTGCATTGGTAGTTGGACTATTATGTGCACCACAATTTCTTCTTAAAGCACGAAGTGTGGCCACGTTTGATTCGCTATTTTTGGTTTTAGTTTTAGCAATTTAAACGTATTGGGTGATTCTTAAGAGATCCATTTTCACAAAAGCCTGACTTTTAGCTAAAACAAAACATGTTTGGTTTGACAATTAAGTTTGACTGATATCAAAATACAGTCCTGTACTTTTAAAACCACGAAGCGAATGAATTATAGTCGAAGAAACGTAGCGAACGATACTTAGAAGTCTATCGAACTTGGTTTACTTCCTCCGGTCTTGGCTTTCCTGTGGTCCTCTATTACATCGACTGAGCTTTAGATGCGTTGCCATAACAACATATCCATAATTAGTGACTAGTCATGTGAAAATTACCGAGCATGAAATCGCAGATTCCTCAACAACTTATCTGCTGGTGACTCAACGATTCCTCATAGCAATTTTTTGCGCATTTTTAATATAAATATCAAACGTTTTAGCGCTGCAGCGTCCAGGCGGGAAGAGATTTTAAAAGTTCCAAAAATGTCCACTTTTAACACATTATTTCCATAGCCAAATTCTCTAGCGAAATAAAGCCGACTTCGTTGCTTTTTTTAACCACGTCAGCTAGCTCACGCTACTAAACACCTTTTTCAAAATTTTTTTGCAGATTTCTTAGATGTTTTCTGTTGTTATAGCCCCATTTCGACATTGACTGCGTGATGTCTCTACATGATGTCTCTACAAACCAGTAAAACGAACGCTTTACAATTGTTTCGGATTGAGCGTAGTCTTTTTGCAAGCTGGTTACCCATAGAAGTTCCATGAGAAAAAAACCCATGAACTGAATTTCTATCCGCGAATCGCTGCATATTCGTAACAAAACCGACGCAATTCAGAAGCGAATGGTGAGTGGTGATGCAGAGCCAATCACTCCCAACAACGTCAAATGAAAACCGCCATCCCAAGGGATCTCCAAGCCAGGAGTGTTGGCCAGAAAAATTTTGTTGTGTTTGATGGAATCGGCGAACGTTTTGGTTGATGAAAATTTTGCCTTAAGAGAAGCCTGTGAAAATCGTTTTTTGCCAATAATTACAGGCTTAATGACATTGCCATCAAACATATAAAGAGATATCAAGTGAAACGGTGTTAAATTAATTATAGTTTATTTTTCCTTCTCAGCCTGCTTGTAGTTAAAGTGGAAAGAAGACATTGAAAAACATTCAAAAACTAATTCATTTCTACGCCAGAGTTCAACCAAATTATTATTTTTTAATTAAAAAGTCCTAAAAACAATAAATTCCCTTCACTGTTTCACATTGGTATAAATTTATGAAAAAAAAAATGCAAAGAAAACATTCCATTGTAAATAAGTGTGTACTCTTAACGAATTAATAAACGCAATTAAAGACTATAAAAAACTGTAAAAGAACAAATGTATACGAAAGAAAAAGCCGTGAATGTGTAATTATAAATTATCAAATTAAAGTTTAACTTAGTATTTACATATACACTAAATATATACAGTTATACAAATATATGTCTTGTATGTTTATTATTATTATTATTATAGGTGCTTAAATATTAAGTGAATGTTATTCAAATAAATAATAAAAACTAATGGAAGGCAAAAAAAAAGGATAAAAGCAAAATTTAATAGTTTAAAAATAATAAAGTAGAAAATAAATGAAAAAATAAAAAATAAAAAATCATACAAATGCGAAGCAGTTCCGTGAAGTTATAAATAAACACTCATACACACATATGTATAGGCCAAATATTGGAAAATACCGCTATATACTAAACCAAGCCATATTTTGTTAAACTTGTTTTGAAATTATAATAATAATTTGTTAATATTATTACTTATGTACGCATATGCATACACACATGTACATATATGACTCTTTCAACTAATTTTACTGATATCATTTCATCTCAAATAATTGTGCAATAATATTATAAATAATTCTTGTGGTTAACAATGCAAGCAAAAATCAATAGACAAGTCAAACACGCACAGACACATGCACATATATTGGAGTAGTAAAAAGAAACCCATTATTTTTCCACTAGTTATTAATATAAGTCCGATCGGGTTCGGCTTGATGACGTTTAAGGGGAAATTTTTTTTCTGACAGTTTTTTTATTGTTCGCTTCAGTTTTATTTGAGTGTGCATCAAAAAGCAAAGAGAGAGAGATAAAGGCGAAAACGCAAAACAAGCGGCTGAAAATGTGAATAACGTGTAAGGTGCTGATACTGTTACAGTCAACCCTTTACAATTTCGGTTTCATTACAGTTATTTTGATATAGGAGATGCTTCACGTAGTGGAAGGCCAGCTGTCGAAAATCCCGATAAAATCGTGGCCATTGTCGAGTCCGACCGTCAAGCACTGTTTCGATTGCCCAAGAGCTAAAGACTGCGCAAAAACCATTTGGAACCATTTGAGTAAGGTTGGATACGAAGAGTAAAAATTAAAGCCTTCAATTTCATGCAAAAATAATGGATTACTCTTTACTACGCCTAATACATAAATGGTTTTATTAGAGCGCTAGATATCCGGGCTCGCTTGTTACTCGTTCGTTGCTCAACTGCTCAAATATTTGTTTGAAAATTTTCAACTATCATTTTTTTTGTGAAATTTATTTGGGATTTTCAATGAGTTTTGCACTTTGCAAAAATAAAATTAAAATTTAAGAAAAAAATTTCAGGGAGAAGTCAACTTGTTTACCCGAAATGTTCGAACAATGAGAAATGAACAAGTTTGCCAAGGCAAAAAAATACATGAGAAATAGGTTTTGACATTTTGAACGATCGTTCATACAAACAAAATACATGGGGTTTTAGTTTTTGTATTCTTGCTACTACAGTGTGTGAATTTACCTTGAAGTTTGCCAGTACTCGTTGTTCGAAAATGCTCGAATACTTTGTACATACACGTACATCTATAGTCTTTTTGACAGCTGATATTTGATTTATACTCAGTTTGGTTAGCCATTTCATAATGAAGAGATTTATCCATTTCTTGTTCAAATGTATTACCAAAAAAAGGTTCGTTTCGAGCGATTCGTTCGACATAAGCGCCTAGCAGAGTCGGTAATTAGAGCAACCTTGGCTCGGTTTCATACCACGTTTACTCTAGTGCATAACGCGCATCCTCCGAGACGTCATAGCATTGCCTTCGTGTGCAAAAATCGAAGCTGTGGCCATCCACTTATAGCAGATTTTGCGGCAGGATCTTGATTTGCGGAATAACAAAGCCCAACTCGTTCAAGATTTGAATTCGAGCGTCAGACGTTCGGTGAGGGGACTAATTAATTCCGATTTTTAAAAAAAAATTTTGTTCAGCAATGGAGCACTTTTGGTTGAATGTGTACGTTAATAAACATTTGGAGCGATAAAAACGTACAAGCCAGTATTGAAGCGCTCTTCTTCTTCTTTACTGGCGCAGGCGTTGGTTAAGAGATTATAGCCAAGTTACCGACAGCGCGCCATTCGTTCTTTTCTTTCGCGGTTTGACATCCATTGGAACAACAAGTATAGCCAGTACAATCGTTCAATTGAAATAACATTTCTTCCGATAACTCCCAACGCGACTCTTCTCAGATGTTGTCATCATCCATGCGATGTGATGACTGTTTGTTTGATGACAGGAGATATTTCTTCTGTCTTGCCCTCGTTCCCTACCGAACCCATACGATTCGCCTCCTTATCCGGTCTGGAGAAACCAGAACTCACGATTCGGTTATTTAGGCTAATGATGACGTGACGTCCTCAAATAGTCACTGTTTCGTGTGCTCTATGAGTAGAGAGAATTATTGGGCAATTTTTCTTAAAAACTGAGGCAGGTTATAATATTGATGTCAATGAGAGCCACTATAGAGCCATAATTAATAGCTTTTTCGTGACTGAATTGGAGAATATTGGTGTAGAGACCTTTGATTTCAACAAGACGGAAACCTTTGGGGCTTGGGGACTTCTGGGGTGACCCTCAATATCATGCGACTTAACACCACTTGACTATTTTTTGTGGGGTTATGTGAATTTTCTTGTCTACGCAGATAAGCCCGATCCATTGAGAAAGAGGAGAGAAAAATATGCGGCCCTAATTGCAAAGAAAAGTTAGGAGTTAGGCTGGAATTGTTTCGAGTCAGCCGCGATGCTCATTTGACTAAAATCATTTTTAAAACATAATCTCCATAGTATGAATTATATTTGATCCTGAAATCCACGTGCGTAAAAAATCACCCTTTGAATACCCTACTCGGAAGAATAACACCCAACAATTCGTCAGCATTTTTCCATTTCAGCGAGAAAATAAAAATATTTTTTTATTCCAATATAATCATGTATGCAGCGTGTCATTCTTGGCTTTCATTTATTTTCAAAACCCGCTTGTTTCTTAAAATAAAAACTGATGACCAATTTAATTCCTTCCTTCGAAGTAATTTAATAAGCTCCGTAAATCTCCCAACTACATATGGCTCAACAAAAATGAAGAATTTCTTCAGAAATCGCTCACGTCATTACACAGTGCAATTTAACTACGAAAAATACATAAAGAACTAACTGTTAATAAAAAATTAAAAAAATAGACTCACAAGATACGTACATAGATATACATATATAAATATTTGTCTGATCGAGTAAATATTATATTTCCATAAAACATTTTAATGTTTAGGTACTGTAAAGAGTAAGTTAACTACGAATAAATAAATGTGTAAAATCTATAAAAAATAAAAAAATTGATATATTTCGGCTAATTAATTTACAGAAAAATTACTTCAAATATAAGTAAAAAAATAAATAAATTATTATTAAAAACATTACATAATTTAAAATAAAATAGTAATTATTATTAAGGAAACTATGTATAACAGTAATATGTGAAGTAAAATACGAATAGTGTGTACGTGTAAATAAATAAAATACATATATATATAATAAAACATGAAAACTGGCTTTTAATCAACGAATCTCTTTCATATAATATTTTTCCAAAATTTATTCAGTTTTGCGTAAATCAAAAGCATTAAAAATAATTTTTTCATGAAATTTTTTTATTTCTCTTTATACAGTAGTTTGAGCTTTGACATTGTATGAGGGTAATTTCGAACACATTTGGATGGCATCTCAGCCTTATTAACTTCACGAAAGTTGGTTTTCGAGTGCTCAATAGTTAAAAATATATCCACATTAACACATAAACGCTTAGCCCCACAAAAAGTCCATTCACATGCTCTCAGCGGCCGGTTGGCATCGAGAGATTACGTGGTCGGGCGATTTCTCTTGCAATAAAGCCATATTCGTGCCCAACTCGTATTCTTCCATTCGGTGTAATGGCCTATTTCCCATTATATTAAGGATTCTCGGATCCTTATATGCGGTCATTTACGTTTTTTTTACTCGATGAATAGAGTGTGAAGTTTGCCTCGTTACTGAAGAAAATTTTATTCGAAAAATCACCGTCCACTCATGGTAGTTCTAGCAAACAATCGACGTATGTCCGTAATGTGCCCCAACAAAGTCCCAGCTCTTGAGAACATTCCAAAATAGACACATGTGGGCCTTCGGCTACACTTTCACTTATTGTAGGTGGAACATGCAAAACTATGATTTACGGGCCTCAATATATCTGTAACCAATCTATTGTCTGCACTTTTTTAAAACTGTACCAATTCTTGGATAGCTCGACGATAATGTGCACCATGATCTTTTCGTCTTGAAGCACGAAACTTCGCCTAGTTTGAATCACCACTTGTGAACGCAATATTTAGTTGATAAGTCGCCCATATACATAAATGACTGACTTTTTACTAAAATAAGATCTGTTGATTCGATCCTTGCCGTAAGAAGTCTGATGAGAAGATATGGTGACCCCCGAAGCGGCTGTCACTTCTATCATTTTTCTTTGCTGCACTTATAACAAGAAGTATTCAGTTCGTACAAACAAACAAGACCTTCAGTTAACTTAATACTTATAACGAAACATGTTTGGTTTGACAGCTAAATTTGACAGCTGCCAAAATACAGCTCTGTACTTTAGAAACTACGAAATGGATAACCCTATATAATCAGCCCCATTCTAAATGAAAATTCTCCAAGAGATTTCTCACTTTTCTCTCTTCTCCTATCATAATTATAATTAAAAAAGTTTTGCAAATTTTTTCTATTTTCTCTTTCCTCGTATTCTGAGCAAACTTCGGAAATAGGGTAATATTCCAAGTGGGAAAAGCTGGCCAAAGGATTTTATAAGGGCAATAAGGAGGGTTCAACCAATTTCGACGAGCTAAATACCGCGGGACCGCCTATAAAAAATGTTATGGGATTGAAGAAGGTAAAATTTCTTTTCCAGGAAAAGACGATTTTTTTAAGTACGCATTTTACTTTTATTTGTAGGCTGATCTAAGGAAATACGTGCGGATGTTGCCCTAATGCATAGCATGAATACTCACCTACCGAAACGATGAAAGAAAGTTTAGATAGCATGAGCAGGAGAACGACATGGAAAAAATCCCTCTCCTAAAAAATCATTCTTCCTGTGCACTTAGAATCGGTGGATTTTTTCTCAGGGGATTTCTTAATCCTCCAGAGAGTATTTCCGTGAGAATATTGAGAATTGAGCTGAATGTCAAAATTTACCTAAATTTTTCCTAGTCAAGCCATGCATGAAATCTAATAGAATTTTTAAATGATTACAGTTCAATTGCTCGTTAAAGCTGGGATAATCTCAGATTAAATGGTGTAGACTATGCTCGAAAATTTCGGAATCCTAAAAGTGAAACATTTCTAATTCGACCACATGTAATCCGAGAAGGAAAGGAACAACCTCGGCGGCCGCGGTAGCCGAGTGGTTATCATTGCGAACTGACATTCGGAAGGACCGGGTTTAAATCCGATCGGGTTTAAATGCGACCAACATGCAAAAGTTATATGATCTTAATTTAAATGAGAAATTAAGTTAAATTCTCTGACTGCGGTCGCCTCCTTGCAGGGAATATCCACCCCTTCGAAAGTGAAATAAAGGCTGCCAATAAAAAACCATCAGCCGTTCGGAGGCAGCTTATGATAAACTTTAGGTCCTTCTATTAGTTGGGAAAACATTAGGATGCAATATCACAAATTCGAGGAGGAGCTCGGCTCGGCTTGAGCGGTTGCAAAGCGCCAACAAAATATATATAAGGAACAACTCCCTCTTTGGAAAATCCGTAGAGGGGTGACTAGCACTTCCCATTCTAAAAAAGTATTTGCGCCGACCTACTGCTCTACCTTTAGGGTACGTACAAAGACGGAAGGACTCCAATCTCCGATTTCTGTTAATTCAAAACCAGCTTCCGACGAGCTCGTCAATACCTTTGACTGTCCTTAGCCCCTTAAAGAAGAAAATCAACTTGAATCAAATTTATTTTAAAACAAAATTTCAAAATTTGTTTAATTAATGAATCAATATCATTAGCATATTTCATATTTATATATATATATGTATGGATGTGTGTGTAATTCAAAGTAATATATGTATGTATATGTATGAGATCACTCACAAGTGTCACCTGAGCAATTGCAGTCTATTTGAAGTCAATCATCCAATTTGAAATATAGAGGACAGATTCTCGACTCAAATGCAATTGAAATCATTGACATAGACAGCTTTATTTCTGCAGACAACTAGAATGTAAACAAAAAGTAGTACTCAAATACACTTGGAGGCGATACGAGTATGTATGGGTACGCAAATATGTGTACAATAAAGTCTCGTAGTCACATTTACACAAGTGTATATACATATATTTATTGTATATTAGATGCGTATGCGAAATGTGGATAGGAAATCCGGTGCTCGGAGTATGACATGTTCGAATTCTAGAAACGACAATTTCCCGTCGCCATCCACATCCGCCTCCTCCATAACCTTATCGGCAATCTGTTGATGCTCTTCCGGACTCAGCTCGTTTTTAGTCATCGTAGTTAGACAAGACATGAGGTCGCCATGTCCAATGAAGCCATCCTGATCGAAATCTGTTTGGAAGAAGGAGGGAGGAAGTTGAAAATGGAATCGAATTAAACGAACAAAACAGGTTAAATTGTGCAGCAGTAGCATAGTCAAATGTGTAGGTATTATTACATATATATGTATATGTGTATGCACATATGTATTTATGTCTGTGAAATTAAGCAATGCATATGGCTAAGTGACGGTAAAGGACATGCATGCAAATGTCAATATTTGACAAAACAAATGCTAAAACATAAATATATAATATGGATATGCATATGTATATGTGTGTGTTTGAGTGTGATAAGAAAATGTCAGCTATGCGGGTAATTGTATGCAGCTCCTACAAACATATGTACATATGTATTCGCATCCACGGGTATGTATAGGTCACCCAAAGGTACATTGACCAGCAGTTTTTATACCCAAAGTAATTTGCACCAGCACACAACCAGAAGTCCATGTGTGAGGTAGAAAATCTACCATCATTTTCATTACAATTTTCCACATTTCTTCACCCCGTCCTACCAACGTAATCCATTACACAATTTGTAGTGATTACCTGCAGCAATGAAATTTTATTACTGAACATATGCACTCAGCACGGAGCACTGAGCACTGTGCACTGAGCACTGATACTTATGCTCTCTCTCAACTCAACTCAACATGAAAGCATGCAAATATTCTCATATCATATGGTTTTTCGTTGAATGTAGCCTACATTCGGGCGCATGCTGTAATATGCATGAATTCTTACTCATTCGTGTGTTGTATATGCGTGTATGTATGTACGTACGTGTATGTGTCTCTCTTCGACATTTATTCAATTTTATTTAATTACATTACCGCTTACTATGCATATTTTGCTAAGATTCAAATATCTTCTGTATAAATATGCATGCATAAATAAATAGGCGCATGGAAAAATAAGCAAACGCACACACACATACACATAAATATACGCTTGTGAGATTAATGATGCAATCAAATTGGGGAAATCGGATTATTTTCACAATAAATTATGTTTTTACTTATAAACTTTCATACATTCACATATATAAAATTATATACAGGCACGTGTCCTAAGCGGAAAAATATTTATTTGATTAAGGGAATTTTTGTTATATATGTATTTAGTATGCATATATGCATATATGATATTACAACTGTATACTTCATATGTAAGTTACTTCTAAAAAGACAAGGTATTTTTCTTGAGTGGATACAATTTTGAACATATCGTTCTTAGAGATTAGCAGAACGATATCGATTCCCTCCGGGAAGTAGACCACAGACCGATCTGATTAAAAAATTCGTATTCATTGGGCGATTTACTTTAAATTTGACATTTGGCTTTTTGCTTAGATTTTGCAGCGAACTGGTAGTCTAAAGGCGAGAATGGTTTCCTATTTTGCTGAAACTCCACCACCTCCCCCTTTATTACCTATTCTGGATTTGTCCGTATAGATATTCATATCTACATCTTTGTTCATCCCAAGCCCAGCTGTCCATAATTTCCCAGCTAATTTTTTTACATTCTTTGTTTGATTACCTTGTGCATATTTTTCTTAGCTGAAAGTCTTGATTTTAGACGAGATAAGTTGGTACAACATATTTTCGACAGCCCAATCGGAATCGAATGTTTTATCATTCCAATGGACTCAAAGGTAGCGAATCCAATGACGATGCGAAGGTGCTAAGTCAATAACATATTACTAGACGTGAGGTCTGTTAATTCCTCGAAGAGGTTTTCAAAAAGGTATGAGCTTCGGCATAATAATGAAATATCACAGCTTCGCATTTTGCCTGCTTAGAGCACTTTTTCCGGATTTCTTGGTTCAATATTGATGATTTCATGAAAGTCACTCAGAAGTCACTAAATGAAATCAACGACAATTAAAAATTACTGTGATATCTGACAGGATATGATGCCATAACCCTATCAACACAGCAGAGGCATTGTAGCTCGCCAAGACCTGGGGTCGGCAAGTGCGGTTGAATGTAAAGGTCACTATATTCTTCAATTTTAATGGCTAAACGGCCAGCAGTACTACCTAGAAGCTCAACAAAACTCCCGGATTTTGTTGAAAAATACCTACTCCCACTTCATTGCTTGCTAGTGCATTTTCGACGGAAAACATATTATTCCCATAAACCCTAGACATAGCTCTCTGTATGATTTACTCCTATTTCTAAAACTGAACAGAACCTTAAGGAGCAGTTCATTGAGAAGAAAACTGAAAGAGTTTGCGGTGTGTTTTAAGGATTGTAAAAAGTATACACAAAAACGTAGAAAGAACAATAATATATCGGGAACTTGTATGTGTTTTAAACCAATTTCCGAAGTAACTTTCCAGCCAGATTCAGTTGCCCAAACATTGCTTGAGGTGCAAAGCGTTCAACTTCAATTTCTCTGCAGGGCAAGCTTGCAATTAATTTCCTCAGTACACCAACCCTCACCTCAATATATTTATATATATATATATATGTTTAGTAAACCTCATACATAAATGAATCTGCGGAATTTCGACTTGGCAATGACAAAGTGTCTATTGATATTGTCCTTTGGTCACTTTGAGCAAATTAAATTAAAGAAAAAAATGGTCATTTGGGAAACTTGCAAAATCTATGCAAATATGCATAATAAAAAAATGGCAGAGTTGACAACACACACACACACATATGTACATACATACTAACATCAATAAATGTATACATATTTATTGTATAGAGAAAACTGGTGGCCAAATCAAAATGCAGAAAATATATATTATATGTATGTATGTATGTGTTTTAAACTTTTCACTCGTACATAATTTTTGTCTAGGCTATTGCCGGCTTTTATTTAGTTGTGCATACATATCTATATATATATATGTATGTATGTACGTAGCACGCGGTTATTGACTTTGATTTCAATTTAATTGTGGCTTTTTGCGAAAAGTCTCAATGAAATTGTTTTGTTTTGCTTTGTTTTGTTTCGGTTTTGCTTTGTTTGTTACATACATATATACATATGTACAAATATGTGTACAAATGTTTTGTTTTAGGCGTTTATTATTAAAAATGCATGAGTTTTTATCGCCATTCGTTTCGGTGTGATTACAAGAGGAAATTGAAAATTTACTAAATACATTTACGTGTATATAAATCCATTCATAGATACATAAGCGTACATATAGTATGCATGCCAACTACGTAAGCAGATTAAAGAAAAACAAATTACAAAAACAAAAATAATCACTGAATTGATTGCTTTCAATAAACTGCATAAATAATTGATTGATTTCGATTTATTAAATATTAAAATACACTCTTTAGTGCAGAATAGTGTTGGAGATTAGAAAAATATACAAAAGAAAATTTTTCAAAAAAAAAAAAAATGATAAGAAAATATAAAATAATATATAAAATATCAAGATAAAATAAAGCAGTATCCGAATTTTACTAGGAAATATTTAATTTGAATTTATAAATTATTTAGTTTCATTTTATTCAATTTATTTTACAAACTTTCCTTCATGCAGAACATAAATTAAATATTCACAAAAAAAAAAATTAATGAAAAAACCAAGTACTGCAATCGTATACTCTCTTTCGAAAGCGGCAATAGCATAAATGATTTTATTTTTTTTTGCCAAGAAACAATAAAATTTAATTTTATTTTTACAGTGAAATAAGAGGTGATTGTGGTCGATATATGAGCCGCTCAGTGCACACATCGATTAACTCCATAAAACGAAAAGTTGAGAAACGTGATGATGTAATGTATATATTGTTTTTAAAAATTCCGCTGATAATATGCATTCAAATATATAATGTAGAATGCAAAATTGCAGATATACAGCTGCGAGCAACTAATTAGCAACGCTGGTAGAAATCACCGAAATCGGTTGATATTTTGATTTCTAAAGAAAACATTTTAACTAAATGTCTTAAAGACAAATTGCGCATACTTTTTATTGTAAATGAGCTAATTTTTTTCTTGTTATAAAAGAGCTTTTATAAAATAAAGCTATTCTACGACTTCATACTCAAAAATAGCTCGTGCAGTTAATTAACAACGCTGTCTTTGTTTTTTGGAAAAATGATTCTATTTAACTTTTTAAATTAATATTGGGTTGCGAGCCCTTTACTGTCAATTATGGCTTGACATCTACGAGGCATTGGCTCCACTAAACTTTCGCAAACGTCCTTTGGAATACGATACTATTCTTGTGTAACTTTTTTGTATAAATCCTGGAAATTTCCAACTTAATGGAAACGAACTTTTTTCTTCAAATGTGTCCATAGATTATCGATTGGCTTCAAATCCAAACTGCATGAAGACTTGTCTTATAGAGTCACCATTTTATCCTGAAACCATAGCTTTGTGCTACGCGCAGGTCGTTATCCTGCTGATAAATCCACGTCACGGGCATATTGTTATCAGCATATGGTTAATTTATGTTGTCAAAGATTGATATGTACTTAAACTGGCCCTCATCGATTTTGCAAATAGACCCAACCTCAAATGATTTAACAGCCGACACCATGTTTTAAAGTTGGCCTGGTGTACTTTAGGTCCAACTCTTTCCATCGAGGAACATACGTTTTTCCATCTAAAGAAACCCTATTTATCTTAGTTTCATCAGAAAACAGTACTGTTTTCCACTCATTTTCTGTCCAATGATGGTATTTCTTTGCAAGCTCGAAGCGTTTTCTTCGATGACATTCGTTGAGTAATGGCTTCTTCCTTGAAACTCTTCCAAAGAATACAACTTCGCGTAATCGCCTTTTTACGGTATCGACAGTTGGTGCATAAAGATTTTCTCCCAAAGTCGAAACTCGAGTTTCATACGCCGTCTTGCAGGTATCCTTTTTTAACTTGTGGATAATTAAATCGTCCTTCCGAAGATTCGGTTGCCGACCACTTTACATTTTTGGAAATAGTTTTGTTGTTTTATTCTTGTTAAAATATTGTACTTAAACGCAATGAAAGACATACGTTTAGAGATATTTAGGGCCTTTGCAGAGTCTTCGT